TGTGCAAGCTCGGCCTGGTATCTTTGATTCCACGTCCGGCTTGAGGAGGGGGTGTTGAAGTGTTGAAGATTAAAGCTCATTTTTCTTTTTGTTATTAAGCAGTTTTCTTTTTTTTCTGTTAAGTTGTGTCTCACTAGTTAAAGACCCACTTTCTCGTTTCTTTTATTTTCCACGTGTACGGCTGAGATCATTGATCAATGCTCAAGTGGGTTAGGCTTATATTTTCCCTTTTTCGTCTCCACTTTCTGTGAGACATGAACAATATGTTGAAATGAAAACTCTGTGAGCTATGATATGGAAATTCTGAATTCTCCCAAATATTTTTCATTTTATTTCGCCATTTCACACAACATTCGGGAATATCTCAAATCGATTGGGGCTTGGTGAGTTACGCAGTTAGGTAGTGTTGTAAATTTGAATTTCTTAGTGGAATTTTCCGTTTGTAAAACATATAATACTCAAAATTAATATGAAATAAAACTAATAAAATGGTATAATTGATGTAAAATTTAAAATATATGAGGGAATGATGAATCTTTCGAGAATTTATGTAGTAATTACTGGTTTTATTTTTTAAATATACTAATAAATTAAGAAAAAAATGTAAAACTTGATGAATAGTAGAATTTTTTTATTAAAAAAATTCACCCTATTGTATATTTTACAATTAACAATAATATTACCTTATGAGAGGAAATGAAAATAAATCTTATATCTAGAGGTGTCTAATTTTCTTGACTTTAATACAAGTTATCTAAAAAAAATAAGTTGATTGTATATATTAATAATTGATTGTACAAATTTAATACTTATTTGATAAGTGTGATTTGTGTTATTAAATTAAAATAGTGGAGCAATAACTGTTAAAAGTATTATGATTACACCCAAAGTACTATACTATATTTTTAATTAAGTTTTCTGGTGTAACAATATATTGGTAAGACTTGTAATCTTTTTGGATAATCCAAAATTATAATTTATGTTTTTATATATCTCTCAGTAAGTTTGCATTTCTAAATATAAATAAGCGTGTCCACCAGTCAAAGTTCTATAATATTTCAAAAAATATTAAATAAGTTAACAATTTGGTTAATTTAAAAAAATCATACATATAGATATTTTGTTATTCATTTTATCATTTATAATTTCTCTATGTGTAAATATTTAATGCCTCGTTAGTTCAACAATCGTTGTAGTACAACACTTATATGTATTCGTTCCAACTTGCTAAGTCCATTGGAATTTTCAAACATAATGAGTTCGTTGGTAAAGAGACACGGAATTTTCTGTTGCTAATACAATTATTAACAAATCCGTTACAATTTCGTTGACTTAATATATCGGTTGCTATTTAGCAACGAAATTTTCCGTTGCTAATACAATTATAAACAAATTCGTTGCACTTCCGTTAGCGTTGACAACAAAATATATTTGTTGCTATTTAACAACGTAATTTTCCGTTGTCAATACAATTATGAAAAAATCTATTGTAAGTTCGTTGGTGTTTACCAATGAAATATATTTGTTGCTATTTACCAACGAAATTTTTCGTTGCTAATACAATTATGACAAAAATCCCTTGCAATTCCATTGGCTTTTACAAACGGAATATTTCGTTGCTATTTAGCAATGTAATTTTTCGTTGTTAATACAATTATGAACAAATCCCTTGCCTCTCCTAAGTTTACAAGTTATAATATAACATGTGAAATTGTTTGATTTGTGTTTCTTTGTTGGAAAAAAATAATTTTATCCATTTGACTATATCTTTTTGTTCAAACAAAATAATAAGGCCCAAAGGGCCACATAGATTTGTCACCTATTTTATTGATAAAAATACGACCCAAACGAGCTCGGATATTCAAGCGGGCTTATATCAATTCAAATCAAACAACATTTATCAATAAATGAAGTTATCCTTGCTAATAACAAGAAGTAAACGGGCCCTTTATATCTTACATTCACATAAGTTAAATGCAATCATTCATCGCTTAAAATAATTATTCTTTTGAGCATATCTCTATAATTATAAAACCTTATTAAAAAAATACGTAAAAGATAAATATTACTCAAATTGGAGGTGAGTCAACCACAGCGTGAAACTCGGAATAAACGTCCATAGTGCAGCACAACGACGTCGTGTGGCACAAGAATCTTCTCCTAACAAACTCTCGTTCTCCCTTTCAGAAAAAATGCACTCTCAGTCCCTCGCTAGCTAGTTTGTTATATACAAACACGGTTACACTATACGTATACATATATGTATGTATACGTCTGTGTGTATATATAGATCTTCTGCAATGCATAAACCCCCAGTTTCAATTCATTCAATTCCAATTCTCGTCTTCACATTTCACTCTTTGCAGAAAAATACTCATCCATGGCGATCCCTCTTCGATTCCAGCTCCTCGTCCTCCTACTCCTTCTCCTGCTCATCTCGCTCTTCATCCCTGCCGCCACCGCCACCGCCACCGGCGTCACCCCTTCCCTACCTCCTTCCTCCTCCGCCGCCACGTTCCAAGTCATGCCGACTCATACTTACCCGCCGACTCTCTTCGCCACCATCCTCTCCACGCTCGGCTACCAGGAGCTCTCAACCGCCGCCGTCTCAGCCAACCTCTCCGCCACCACTCCGATCACCATCTTCGCCCCCTCCGACGCCTCTCTCCTCACCTGCCCCTCCTGCTCCCTCCCCGTCCTCCTCCAGGAGCTCTCCATCCCCGGCCTCTACCCCCACCAATTCCTGCGGACACTGACCTTCGGCACCAAAATCGAAACCCTAGCCCCCAATCGCTGCCTCACCATAACCAACAGCAACAAGGATGACAAGGTCTTCGTCAATGGCGTCCAGATCTCCAGTCCCGACACCTTCAACAACGGCCTCGTTGTCATCCACGGCCTTCAAGGCTTCGTCTCGCACCTCTCGCCGCTCTCCTGCAACGTCGAGCGGGTGACGTCACTGTCGTTTCCTTCGCCGTCGCTCTCCGGCGGCACGTCGGCGGTGCCTCCTTCGCTGGTCCATATGAGGCTGATGTTGAAGGACGCTATTATCCGCCTACGCGCCACTGGATACAACGTCGTCTCGCTCGCGCTGCGAGTGAAGTACATGGAGCTCTCAGATCTGGAGTCGATGACGATCTTCGCGCTTGACGACATGTCCATATTCTCCGGCGGAGGAAATTCTTACCTGTCCAACTTCAGGTATCATGTGGTGCAGAACAAGCGGCTGACGGCGGCGGAGCTCGTGAGCCTACCTCTGGCGACGTCGTTGCCGACCATGGACGTCGGGGATACCTTGGTCGTGACCACCGCCGGCGGCGGCGGACCTCTGGCGCCGATGAGGATCAACTACGTGAAGATTGCGACCATGGATCTGGTCCATAACAGCAGGATTGTGATTCATGGAATCTCGTCGCCGTTCCCGCATATGCTCCGTCATCAGGCGTACGTGGAGAGCACCGCAGAGATCCACCGGTCCATGTGCGATCACTTCGATTGGATTTGTGGATTCCGTATGCTTGCAGCTGAAGTGCCAGCTGGCTTGAAGACGGTCGATGTTGAAGACCACCGTGATGGTGAGATCTGATTGAGTGATGGTCAGTGCACCTCGACTCGACGCTTTTGGGAAATTGTACGTCACCGTAGGATAAGAAACTTTACTTAATCACCACGCTTTGATTTGACTGGCTGGCTGTACTGTCTTTAGTGACCGCGGTTATGAATAAATGAATGGTGACATTGGGGTGGTACATTTCGTGATTTGAAGTTTGCTATCGTCCTATTTCATTTTCATTTAACGTACGTGTGGATGTGTGCTTTACTTTATTTGATGTTGGCTCATAATTAGTTACACTGTTTTCAATTTCCTTTCCTTCATCTGGTTTGGTTTTGCTGCCATTAATTCGATATATTTTCTAATTCTTTTTCAGTATTTCTCTTCCTTTTTTTTTTATTTTTTTTTCTGAGATGCAACAGTTTATTCGCACACCTGTTTTGGTTTTGCTGCCATTAATTCGATATGTCTTCTAATTCTTTCTCAGTTTTATCTTCCTTTTTTTCCTCTTCTGAAATGAAACAGTTTATTGGCACACTTATTTGGAGTTTTATATCGTGTTGTTTATTTCTTGAAAATTTTCACTTATCCTTATCCTCAATTCCCAAAATCAATCAGTTGTTCAAACAAGTTGCGTTTTTTCTTCTTCTTCTTTTGCTTACTTCTTTTAATCTTTCTCTTTCTTTCCGTCCACAATTCCGAAATCGAACTGTTTTGTGCAACATTGTTCATTAGTTATGAGTTATGACTTGATTAGTAATAGCATCAAGCTTGAATGAAATCAAACCAATCCAAATTCTATTAAACATCTACTAATTGAAAATAACTTAAAAGTTAGATTTGATTACTAGTTGCTTACACTTGCATGATGTACCTCCATACATGATGTACCTCTATATCTGACGAGCCACAAGCTTTCAATAATAAATCTCAAAGACTCAAACCAAGGATAATTGTATACAAATATATCCGTTCAAAATAAATTATTTTAGTTAACTAAAATTAATTTTAAAAAAATTGTAATAATTAATTGTTAGTGGGATTTTGAGGTTATGTTAAATCAATATTTAAAATAAAATAATTAAAATTGATTTAATCTGAAAATAAAAGAGAAATGATGTAAAGTGATAGTTAATTAAAATTATTTGAGTGAATGAATAGTAAATTAAAATTGATACAATTAAAAGAATGATTGTTTGCTATTATTTTTTATTATATTAATAATATTGAAAATAATGAAACTAAGTTAAAATTAAAATTAGATTTAGAGTATGAATTGAAGAAATTTATAAAAAAAACACACCCTTGGTGAGTGAGTCAGGTTTTAGTTTTCGTTTTCTTCATAAGAGTGACTACCCCGCAAGTGTGAGTTGGGTTTTTCTTCCTATCAGTGACTGTTATAATAATACACCATTGCAAGCCATAAGCATCAAATAACATGCAATACTAGTAAAAACAATCATACTAAGCACAGGGAACTAGCCCAAAATATAACTACAACTACATTCCAATTAGATTATAATATATTGTAAAACTAGTTATTCCAATTGAGATGATACTAAACAAAAAACTCTACATCACCAACCGAAAATCTTCTTCCATAACTTGTATCTACATATAACTAGAGCGAGAAGCAAAATGGGAATAAGAACTGATTATCAATAATAAAAGTAGAAAAAAATCATGCTCATTAGTCAAGCTTTGATAATTTGCAACGCAACCACCCTCATATCAAGGTTGCACATGTTGAGACTTTTCAGGTGCATTGAGATCAAAAGAACTATCAGATAAACTGTCTCTAGCACGTTTTCGAGAAATCTGCTGATTATCATTCCCAGAAGTCCCGGATCCGGATGCTTGGTCCTTTGCTTCTACAATCATTGCACAAAATGCGTTAGCAAAGTGCAAGATTCTAGGTACCCTTAACAAAATTCATAATAATTTATGTTTTTTAAGACTCAATGTACTAGTTAGCTTATCTATTCTTTTAGCTCCAAAGTCTACGTTCATTAAAACTTCGGATGCCTAAGAAATGTGCTTGCTGAAAAGATGCCATTTTATATTGGGTTAATTAATTTACCCTTCAAGTTCTCACTATTGCTGCCGAACCCATCAATCAGCTCCTCTGCCTTCTCAACACCTTCTGAATGGTATGGAGCTATGATATGGATACTGTACTGAAGTGCACCCAGCAAATCGTTCTCGATGCACTCATGCCTGTGTAGAATATACCAAGAAGACAATAACTTTCATCTTTACACAATAAAAACATAAAAGGGTCATTTGACTTAATTAAAGAATAATCCATGTTTATCTTTTACAAATATAAAAACTCCTCAAGGTTTTGTGTTCATGTAACCTATTGAGGATATGAGTTTGCTAAAAAAAAAAAAAAAAAAAAACAGGATATGGATTTGATCGACTCACATTTTCTTGCAGAGGTTATCAACAACCAAAGAGAGATTAATGACTTGCATCCTTGTCTGCATGACTTGTTCATCCGAATACTCATTGAAAGGCTCCTCGAGAAATTTGGATAGTCTCTCGATGTTGGCCTCCAGCTGCTGCTGCTGGTCCTCGAATAAGTTTTTTTTTATTTCTCTGTGCTTTTTCTTCATCTCACCCTTAAACATCTCATCACCAAACATGTAGAACGCAAACGGATACGAGTATGAGAGAGCCCGTCTGGACCGAAACAACCTGTAAAGCCCATTTGTGACCCAAGTAAAATCCTTTAAATTTGAGTCCCTAGCTTCTAAAACTGATACTTTCTCCTTCATTGTCTCCCTCAGACGAGATTCCTGCTTCAAGGAGTCCACGTGGGCTTTATACCGGCTGTAGTAATGTGTGTATCTGTAGAGGTCTCTCTTCGCACGCTCTGCCTTCTTCACAGTATCTTCTTTAAATCGGCCACAGCTGTGATTAGCAATAGAGGTCCAAGTATGGTTCCGGCCTGTAGCTCCACCACACAGCCAACTACAAAAAGGGTTTGATATAGT